TGTAATTGAGTCGAAAGAAAGAAAAAAAAAGGGTAAATTAGAAGAGCAGAATTAAAAATGGAGAAAGATCACTAGGGTATCTCTGAGGTGTGTCACTCATAGCAACTAAAGACAATAAATCTTGTGTGTGTGTGGGGGGGGTCACTTGGGTACTTTAGGCTCATGATTCTAATACTTAATCTAAAGGCAAATTCCTGTGGGAATGCTTTGAGAAGTAGCATAATGTAGTGATGCATCTAACTACATGCACTAAGTAAAAAAATATTTGTGAAAAATTAGTGGAAATGTAAGGTGTGTATATGGAAAAGAGCTTCGGAACATTACTATTTGTCCAGTTTGCAGAGTAATAGAGGTGTAAGTCCATTAAGATGACACAATTTAGACTCTAAGAAAATAAATATGTTTTTTCATTCTACCTCAAAAGACTGTAAATTTCTATCATTCCCAAAAGTTTCGGTATATTTTCGTAACATAAAAATTTTCAGTCAGTTTTTATTTTGTTGCTCTGTCCTCAGTAGAGCAACAGATATGTGTAATTGTTAAAGCCTCTCATTATAAATATTGTGGACATTTAAATCCCAATCATGAGAAGACATGATTGATTTAAAAGTCTGAGAGTTAAAGGTTAAATTGAAATTCATATCAAATACATGAAGGATAAAATTGCAGTTAAGGGGCTGCAGAACAAAAATATTTAATTTTATTGTGTATTTTCTGTGGAAACTTGATAACTTCAATTTTAAGAGAAATGTTGAAAATTTTGAGCTACTGAGTTGCCAGCTTTGCAAGTATTTCAAGATTCAAAAAATGTAATGGCTACAATTTCAAATTATATTTTTCAAGTTGTCAAGTTATAGTGAACAAAAAATATTCAACTCAAGTAAATTTATTGTATTTATTTATGTAAATTACAACATGGAATTATATAATTACAAATATCATTGTAAAGCTACGAAAAAATTAAACTATGAACTAAATACATGATCCTTGATATCACTGCATCGTTCAACATTTGTCTTGTATTTATAGCTGCTCTGGCCCATTTATTCAATATTAGTGATTCTTAATCTGATTGATCAGTGTCATCATTTTCTACATTTTGATTAACTATGTTAGTGATTTCAGCGTTAATCAGTGTTCCAGGAGTATCTAGTCCATCACATGTCACATATTGTTATAATTGAACATCTATAATTTTAAAGTTTATTCCGTATTGCTTCTTAGTTCATGTCTAGGTCAAAAGATTTTTTCAGAACTTCATGTTCATCAAAAATCCACTACTTTTGAAACAATATGACCTTGTAGTTTCAAGTACATTTCTCTAACTTCCTCTGTCATTCTAATTGGATGTACTTTAATAGAAGAAACAATCTGTTCTTCCATATCAGTTTTCTAACAATTTCCTTTCTACATTATTTTAAGGTGTGTGCAATGTTCAGGGAATTATGGAATTAACAGTGTGACATTGTTACATTACTAACTTCGAGTTATAGAGTATAAACATATGTATTAGTACCTAACAGGGAAATATTTTTTTTTTTTTTTTTTTTTTTCAATTTGCAATATCTAATTTATTCTCAATGTATTGCATTTTTATGGGTTCATCTGAAGGGAATGGCTACTTTTTCATCTTATTGAGAGTTACAAGTTAAAAAGTTTCAATTTAATCCAGTTACCATTGTGTTTTTCTTCAGTGGAAGAGACTTAAGTTTTTTAAGTGAAAAGATTAATAAAATCATTTAAATAAAATAATATTATGTTCTTAGACTTTAATTGAAAGTCTTTATGTTTAATTTATAATTAATTAAAGTTCCAATTATACTGTAGTTTCGGAGTACTTGTGTACCTAAAAATAACTTAGGGAATCATTATAAACATTGCACAGTTATAAGAAGATTCTATTACTAATTGCCTTGAATGAGTGTTCTTTTGTAGAATTTTAGGAATATATGTAAAATGATTGTCATTTTGTTTTAAAATTCAAAGATGGAACATTTTTTTTATTGCAATATGGATTTCTTGTTTACTTTTGATTTGTACTCTTAATAATTTTCATTTTACAAAATTCTTTTACTTAGGAAGGATTCCTATAACTAGCATCCATTGTGATAAACAACCAATTACTTATTTTTTTTAAAATTAATACAACATTTTGTAATATGAAGTGGACTTGTTCTAGTTACTATCAGTATAAATTTTCATACTGATGTAAAATATTCTTAAATTAACTGAAGAGATTATTTTAAAAAATGATCAAATTTTTTTTCTATTTTCCCAGAGAAAATTTCATAGCAAGAGTAAGTAGCATGGAGGACCCAAAAAGGATTGCTGTTTTTTAATAACATTTAGAAATTAATTTTTTTACTAAGAAATACATATTAAATAAGAAAATGTTAAGAAGTTAAATGGTTAAAATTAAATGGGTGTCAAACATGATTGATTTTGTTTGTGTAGGGTGATTTAAGTGTTCTTTGCAACCTATCCCTGTTTAATAATTGCTTATCTTATTGTGATGTATTATTTACTAGAAATAATATTTATTTCTCTTTTAATGTTAAGGATCCCTCTACGCCTTTATCAGGAAAACTATGTGGTACACCAGAAGAGCCTTCATCTGGGAAATGTAAAAACAGCTCTTTTTCATCAGGAATGTTGTGTATGTAATGATTTTTATTTTATACGTGTTCTTTCTTTCTTTCTTTTTTTTTTAAATATATTTATAAATGAAAAATATCATTTTTATACATTACACAAATGTTTACTCTCAGTTCTTGAAAATTATGTTACTTTGCAGGTGCTGCTGAATTAACCAGAATGTTTCCAACTCCCCCATCTTTGGAACATAATACTGCTCAATCTCCATCAGGTCCATTATGTGGTACAGATATGTCAAATATAGATGGTACTGATTGTTATCGAGATCGTACAGAAGGTTTTATTGATGGTGGCTGCAGTCCATATTATGAACCAGTCAAAGTATGTTTAAATTTCAATATTAGTCTATTTTTTTTTCTATTTGTATAAAATTGATTGTTAACGATATAACTGAAAAAATATTGTACAAGTGAGTTTTATTCATTCAGCTAAGTATATGATTTCAAATGTGTGTATTTCTCCCCTTTTAGGATTGGTCTTTTGTTTATAAGTTGCCGACCCAGTATAAATTTATTGGTTCTAAAAGATATGCACCACTCACCACACTACCAAGTCAAGTGCAACCAATTCCACTATCTGCTGATCATGTTTACAAATCTTCTTGGACAAATACAGTTTCATCCCCTCTTCCTGCCAATACATCACCACCAAATTCGCAACCTGTTGGTTACGTGGAGAGGTTGTCTTCTAATTCAAAGTTAGTAAAATAGTTTATGAAAACATCGTTTGTTATATTCATAACCTGTAATGTAAATTTGGTTGAGTGTAGTTGGATATCCTTATTTTAGTTTTTAGTAATAGGGTTTATTTATGTTTCTGAGAAATTCGTTATTTTTGTTTGTACTGTATAAAAAAAAAATTATCTTGATGCAAGGTTTATTACAGATATTTAAGTTTGAAATACAATTATAGTAATTAAAAAAAAAAGCTTTAAGCATGTTTTTTTAAATTCTGATTGTAATTTATTTGTGAAATTAAGCTTTAATGTTCTTTCTTTCAGAATGTTTTTAAAAAATTAATTATTGATTCAATTATCAAGGTTTTTTTTTTTTTAAATATTTGTTACTTAGCAACAACAACTACAAATTCTTCATTGTTTCTATAGAAAAGTTATAAATTATGGAAGATATTTTAAAGATGCAAGTGTAACTTTTTAAAAATTTCTTTGATATATATATATATATATAGCTGTTTTTTTAATGTTTTAGTTGTGTAAATGTTAATTATTTATGCTCCTAAGAACAAAGCTGGTGTTGTGCGCATTCACATTGTGGTACATTATCCAAAATGGATTATGCAATACTCAATCATTCTATGTGGTGACCCTATCTCTTAAAGTCAAGCCAGTTTTACTTACTGCCTAATCCTACAATTTATTTTTCGAGAAAGCTTCGCCTAGCTACATAAGTTAATTTAAGTTTGTGATGATTTTTTTGTGCTACTGTTCTTGTTCTGAAGCAGCATGGTGTACTTGTGGCTATAATTTGGAATGTTTATTTTTATGTTTTCTTAGCATTTCTTGTATATTATGGAAAAATTTGTAAACCTAGTGAAAATTCTGAGCTGATATTGTTGAAAAAGCAATGAATGCCCAGAAATTGGAGAAGAATAAAGGGGAGTGGGCTTGTCTGGCTACTGATGTAATGGATAATCCTTTTATAATGTTAGCAGATAAAAAAAATTTCTGTTATTTGGGGTGGCCAAGATTACTGTATCTGTAAGAATAGTATCAAGATTACTGTAAAAAAATGTGTGTAAATGCAATTATATTGTGCTAAAAATAGTTTAAAATCTATTAAAATAGAAAAATTTATCATGAGATTCCTGGTACAGCATTATGTGTCTTTCCATAATGGATTAAGTGAGAATTCTTCTGGAATATATTCCTTGATTCAAATGCAGTGAAAAAAAAAATGTGATCTGACAGAAATAGGAACAATTCTCCATTTGAATGCAAATATCAGTCAGGCAATTATAGTTGAAATAATTTAATCTAGCTGCCTTTTTAGTAAATGATGGGAGCAATAATATGGATTTAAAAAAAAAAAACTGTTCCTTATATTTATAAGTTTCTGTAGTAATTTAAAAGAAAACATAGAAATATTACTTTCTTTATTAGCGTTGTCTGGTAAAGCTGGTGATAATATATACATATATTTTTGACATACTTTGAATTATCAATAAAAGGGAGCAGTTTTAATTTTTCAGAATGCAAATGAAATTACCATAATTCCAATATTCACTGTCACAAATGGTGTTCTACAGAAAGAACAGCTGTATGCTCATATGTTATATTTTTATGTACTAGTTAAATTTGTGATGCCAGTTACAATTTCAAAGTGTGGTCGCGGTTGCCTAGTGGTCATGGCTTCAGATTCGTGACCTGCGATTTTGGTTCAGTCCCAGGTTCAATCCTTGACCGCTAAGACCCGCCATGTAGTTGGGACTGCTGCACGTTAAATCTGTCAGGGCCCAAAGTCCTCCTATTGGTATAGAGAGGAGGTGCCAGCCTGTCAGATGTCACCCTCGTCACTTGACCGAGGTTTAAAATTACGAGGTCCGTTGCCAGTAGCCCTTGTGTTACTTCCAGTGCAACATTAACAAAAACTAAACCAAACCAATATAATTTCAAAGCCGGGGTCATTTTTTAGTCTAGACTTTAAGAGTTAAAAGTCTGCAAGACGATTTATTGGGACTTGTTTTGGAAGTTTTACAGTATTATCTTTTCTATATGTATGTGAACCGTACTTGTAGAAGATGAGTTTCTCAAACATGTTTCTGTAACAAATATTCACTAGTTAAAACATTTTGCTTTTTTACTTATTTGTGATGTATTAGGTGAATTTATTTCACTCTAAAAAAGAAAAAAAAAGTGTTTATTTGAATTAGAGTTGTACATTGCCAGATTGATATGTTTCTTTCTGAAATGAGAAAGACAGTTGGACGTGTGTGTTGCTTGGAACAAACATTTCAACTTGGTTATCTGAAATATAGAATACTGCTGAGTTTAATATTACCTAGTCATAATGCAAATACCTAGGGTTAATTAACTTAATAATTACGGGGAAGTAGTTAATAATTGTGATGAGATAACATAATATCAGCATTGTAATTTGTACATCATTATCTGTACTAGTGGTTATGCATAGCAATATCGAAACATATATATATATATATATATTTAATAATAATAGTGAATTTAGAACCAGTTTGAGTATTAAGACTTATGAAGCATAGTTAGTAGAGAAATAATACTTTTAATATTATTTCTTTATAGTTACAGGGAGAAATTTTCTCTATGGATGAGTTATAAAAGACTTAGAAAGTGCATGCTGTAATAGCAAAAGTCAAATTGACTTCTCTTCTGTAAATCCAATAATAGGAGAAATTGTGGGTGTTTTTTTTTTCCCATGTGCAATTAAATTTTTTTAAAATTTTATTCAGATATAAAATATGAATCATTCTTTAAAATTAATATGACTTTTGAGTTAATTTTTCTTTAAATGTGAAGTTAATGACAAATTCCCTTGCTTGCACAGATTATGTTATGTAATTAATTCCTATAAAATTGTCATTTTAACTATGGATAGTATAATAAATTTATATATGTTTTTATAAATCGTTTTTTACAAAAACTATACAATAAGTGTAAGTTCCTCTCTCTTTGATATGCTTTAAAATTTGTTCAATATACATTAAGTCTGAATGTACTAACTATATCAAAGGGCCTGCAGTCAAAGTTGGCAAGTTTGCCTGAGTGCTTTATTTGTATTATATAGTAGGAAATTTCTTCATTCATAAAACCCATCCATTGCATGAATATTTCATTCTATGTTTTGTACATTATGTTGTAAGGTAAAAAAATCTATAGAAATGTATTCTTAAATTTTTAATCGTGTTTTGCAGAGTCTTATATGTCCTAAAGAATAATTAAGTTCCTGTTTTTAAATAAATTTCAAGTAACAGTGGTGCATTAATTAAAGGAAAAATTTGGATGTATTATGATGTGCTGATATGGTTTGATCAAGTTTAAAGATTTTTAATAAGGTTGTATCAAAATTAAGTCTGTTGGTGTTTTTTAAATTGTTTTTTTAAAAAAAATGTTAAATTATAATATAAAGTACTTGATTGTTTAGATGATTTTCTTAGTTGTTAATCAATATCAATAATTTTTTTAGCTCTCAATTTCCAGTAATACCAGTGAGTGAAGGAGAGAGGATGGTGCCGCCCATGTTTTCTGTGGATCCACCTATTGATCAACGAACGCTGCCCATGAACTATGAATTGCAAAGCCCAGCGTCCAGTGCCTCATCTTACTTAAACAAACATTTGAATTCTGTTGACAGTAGTGGCACAGCTTCTTCTATTCCTGAGGCACATAGCCTGCTGGTAAATCTGGTGTTAGCTGACTCTATGCTCAATCTCTTCAAAGATCATAACTTTGCAAGTTGTACTCTTTGTGTATGCAATATGAACACCAAAGGTGCAGATGCAGGTATCAACTTGCCAAGTAGTCTTATACCTTCTGGGACTGATGAACCACAGTACAAATGTACATGTGGTTTTAGTGCGGTTGTGAATCGTCATCAGAGTCATCGTGCAGGAATTTTTTATGAGGATGAACTAGACATTACGGGTCATCGCTATGAAACATACTTTTGTAGAAAAAGCCTTTCATTGGTTGAGAGTGTGTCCTCGAAAAAAACTGATTTGGAAGAGGAAACAAATGCTCAAGTGGACCATGTACCACATAATATTGTGGACTTAATAAAATTACAGTGCTCACACATGTATTCATCATTTTCATTGTTTCACAAAGCTGAACAATTTCGCTCTATTGATAGATTTAACTATCATTGCAATGCTTTAGAGATATCAGATGGATGTGAAGTATGTTTTCTTGCATTAGACACAGGTAGACAAGCTGTTGACAATATGAACAACAACAAAATGGATGAGAATTTAAAGTCTTCCTGCCTTCATAAGTGGCCTTATCTTGCAGGTAAAATAATTTGTTCTTTATCTTTTTTTCCCCCGTATTCTTTATCATTACACAGAGTGATGAATTCTGAATAGAATATTAAGCTTGCTCCTTATTTAAATATTTAAGTTTCTTTTTTTATGTAAACTTAAGAGACTGTAAAGGAGTTTATGAATAATGATATACTTGGAAATATAATTGATCATAAATTATTTTATAATCTTTCAAATTTATATACATATAAAAAAAAAGAACCTTAAGTTTTTCAATATGAAGCAAACTCAATATTCTATTCTGAATTTGTCACCTTATGTATTATTGTGTATTTCTTTCAATTAATCTCTTCAGTGGCCATTATAAATATTTAGTCACAAAATTACACGGTAAATGAAGAGGAAGTCTGATTCAGAAGATTTCAAGTTCTTTCTTTCAGTTTTATGAATATTTAATAACTGATCCCTAATGTACTTATCTGTTATAGTAATTTCAAAGTATTTTGATTGGTATAAATGCAGTATTTTATTGATTTTCGTTATACAGAGTGCTTATGAAAAAGTTGTACTTTCAAAAAATTGCTAAAAGGAATCACTGGTCAGAATGACCTGATATTTCAGAATTTGTTTTGCAAAAGTAAAAAAATAGTTCAAAAGTGGATCAATAGTCAATAAAGGGTGCTGTACTAGTCATATGAGTCTAATTAGAAGACTGGACATGTTGTGTCATTCTTTGTTCAAAGCTTAACCATCACTATAAGATGATGCCACAGCAGATTGGATGCATTTTTAATTGTCCCTGGACCAAAAAGCAAAAGGTGATGAAACTATCAAGGAAAGGAAGGCATGAATAAACTGCTATGACTTTCTTAAGGAATGTTCAATATGCTGCCACCATTTTCTGCCAGAAGTTGAAGGCGCAAAACAGCATTTCCACAACAGATCATAGTGTATCAGTTGTGAATTTGTTGCCTGATGTGTATTTTCAATTCAGATAAGTTCACAATCTGAGCCCAGTATACATGTTTTAGATAAACCACAGCCAGAATTTTCATAGATTTCAGTCAGGTGGAGCATGGTGGCCATGTTGTTTGTAAATGGCGACTGATAATTCTGCCATTTCTGGAATGCATGTTGAGTAGCTGCTTCAATAGATTTGACCTTCACTTCACCAAAGTGTGCCATCTTGCATAAAAATTGTGCTGTCCACACTATTGAAGTATTGTCCACACTATTGAAATGAGTGGGTTGTTCAAAAGAGATTCATTATGTGTCCTGTTGACTACACAGGTGACAGGAAGCAGAGGACCATCTTCTTGAAAGAGAAGTGATTCTTCTCTATTTTCAACCCTCCTTGTCATCCAGTTTTTATCTTTTTTTCACGTCTAAACCTCTGTTAAATCTTGTTTGGCGCAGTATAGCCACATCTGGCACTTGCACCAATAACCTTCACATTCACTCTCTCACCTTGAAAAAGAAAAGGTCAACAATGAATGCTGCCATAAACCTGCACCACATAGTGACCTTTTTAGAATGAAGAGGGAATGGATTCTCTCTTTCCCATATCCTGAAATTTTGAGTGTTGACAGAACCTTGGAGATAGAAATGGGCTTAATCTGTCCAAAAAATGTTCCATGTCCGTACATTGTCCTCTTGCATTCTAGCAAGAAATTACTGTGCAAAAGCTTCTTGTTTTGGCTGGTCAGCCGGAAACAACTCCTAAATGTGCTTTATTTGAATTCTGCAGGATGTTTCGTAGAATTTGACAAATCAAGCTGACAGGTGTATCTGAAGTTTGGTAATTCCCTACTCAATGAATGTTCCTAAAACACTACTTGATGCTTCCTCCAATGCTGTTGTCCTATCTTCCGCTGATGTCGAAGTAATTGATTTCATATCTCTGCCACATTCATGTCAAATAAACTTATCTCTTCTAAATCATTTTCTTCACATCAAATGCAGTCCTTGAACCAGAGCCACTTTTAAAACTCTTTAATATCAAGAATTTTTTCAATGTAATTGCCATGCAGGTGTTTTTTTTTTTCCCTCCTCATAAAAAAATTCTTCATAAGCAGAGTCCACTCCTTTTATGATAGTCATGACTACCTTCTCAGGTACAAAATAGTAAGAACTTTGTGTTCTCTGCCTATTTTTTCACAAGTGTAATGTGCAGTGCACATGTCACATCTTTTAATTAGTATCTTAAAATTCGCATATCTTTTACAGTCGTTTTTTAGCTTCTCATAACTATTACGCCACCTTTTATTGGTCCACTTTTGAACTATTTTTTTTCTTTCTCAAAACAAATCCCATTGTTTCATGTATACTTAGGTGAAATATCAGATCATTCTGACTAGTGGTTCTTTTTTTTTTTTTTTTTTTTAAATACCTTTTGAAAGTACAACTTTAATATTATCACCTTGTATGTTTCTTATATTAAAGATTTTTTTTTT